ATGGATCTTTCAGAGATTCCTATAATCCATCTCCAACCAAAACTAAAAGCTGACCCACTAACTCTCAATCTAAATCTGACAGCATTTTGAATAGTAAATGTGATGTTGAACCTACCTTTTTGATGTCATTCCATGCTTTAAGCTTCTTCAGCAGCTGAACAGCCTCCTTGGTCTTCTTGTACCCTTCCACCTTATCTTCCACGACCAAAGGGAGTTCAGGGACTTCCTCGATTCGGTGACCTATCCAAACCGTGGATACTTAGCAAGGTCTCAACTCTTTACATACATACCCAAAACAAAACTGTATGCACCGTCAAATCAGAATTTCCACTAATATCCTGTCTTTCAAAAGCACGGACCAAATGTCTTTCAAAAACACGGACCAATTAAGTGGAGTTTCATCATTCTGACAGTTAAAAACACAGCAGGAATTTGATGGGAACTACAATCAAGGGCTTACTAGATTGAAACAAGCAGAACTGCTTTTAGTAGACACCAAGAGGAATAGAATTCACTCAAGCTAGTCTCCTTAACAAAGGTGTCAGTTAAAGGTAAAAATTAAATGTCCCGAATCAAAGCAAAGCATCACAGACCTTTAGACATCACCAAAGCTGGCAAGGCTGAGGCAGCCAGGGCAGAACAGATGGCATATCGCTTTTGGGTTGTGTTTACTCTGCGGTGCCAACGACGCCAGGTTTTGGTTGGTGCAAACATGCGGCCTCCCCGGCACATCTGTTTTCTTTGTCAAGAATTATACCGGCTTTTAGTTCTGGAGAATTAGTGAGGTTATGACTTGCTCAGTAACAACTTTCGTCAACCTTCTGAACCAGCATACTGACAGCAGGCAACTGTCGCCATGAACAGAGTAAGACGCAAATTACGACATCACAGCAAGTAACACCCCCCCACACTAAACTAAACATCTCCAGATTGCAGTCTAGAGGTTCTGTTTATTGGGGACACTATTAGTTTTAGACAAGATTCAAAACATTATTAAACATTAAAAGAATCAAGTCCAAGTCCAGTTGGTTAATTGCTACGAATGCTAGTACAGAAACAGGATACATTTCCAAAGGCACCCTGGCCAGAACGGTGGGTTCCTCCACCTCGGACTCTTGGAATTCGAGCCACAGCTCTGCCAGTACCCCAGGACTCAGCACTGGCCTGGGAACCTAAACTCCAGAAAAAGTATTAGGTACTAAGGCACAACAACCCATGACTTGTTTTATACATGCAAAGGCAGTATCAGAATAGCCACGTAAAATCACATGTTTCAGAAACACGGACCAATGGCATCTCATCACCCACTGCAAAGGAGCCCTACCCACGATAAATGGAAATCCATACCTGCCAATTCACTAACGGCATACGGCTGTCTGTTGTTTTTCCTCAAGTTGGTGTGAACAAAGTTCACAATATCCGGTCGAATTGGAGCTTTGAATACAGCTGGCAAAGTGACATTTTTGCCAGATGACTCCCCCTTTTCCGAGTACACCGATATGAGGGGACGGGCACAAGCCTTGGAGGGAAGACAAAGCTAAATCAGACACAAAGCAAGCATCTTCTGCTATATCCGGAATCTAGGTTTTGAAATACACATTTTGAAGAGTTGCAAGGCGGATATAAGACTACTTGCGATATTATGCTCCTTGTGAGGAACTAGGGACCAGAGAGGCAGGTATTGAGAAACAAGGGCGAACCAGTACATTCGCTACACAAAACGCCATCAGAACCGTATCAGGATTTAGTAATACTCACTTGAGGAAATAAAAGCTTTCAAAGAAGCAGTCTTTCTAAGAGCATTAATACTAATTTCCTTAAGAGGTGCAGATCCATTCACTGGACGGCAAGCACATGACGCCCCAAGGCCCACGCCGAGTTGCCGCCAGGCATGTCACCAGCATCCAAGGGCCCGATTTCCAGATGCCCTTTTCCTCTACAACTACGGAGAGCAAGGATCCCGAAGGCCCCGCTCCCGTCCACCCCGTGCTGTCTCTCACGTTGGCTCTAAGATGGCTGCCGCAGTGCCCACAACCGAGCTCCCTGACCTAAAAGATCCAGGTTCCCTTCCCAGGTCCTCTTTGCCTGCCGACCCCATGTTCGGATCCCTTCATTCTCCCCCATACGCCCCAGAAATGAAATGAAAGCCCAGCAGAGAAGACCTCCACTCACCATGTCGGGGAAAGGAGAGGCGAGGAGAGGGCCACGCTCCTCTCAACCCGGCGGGTCCCACAGGAAAAGGAAAGACCTAGCACCTACCCGCCACACATATCCTTCCACTTGACGCACATCCTGCCCCTCCCCCAAACCAACTCGGAGAACCAAGATATCTCTTTATTAGGCTGTAAAAATTCGAAGGAGTCACATTATTACTTTGCGTGTGTTAAAATAGGTATCTATTTTTTTCTAAGCTGGAAAGACTGTTTAGAACACAGGGACTCTTTTTCGCGGAATAATTCGCAACTCGAACCAACTCTCGCGAGATGAGGTTTCTTGCTTCCTCCTCCCCCTCCCCCATCACAACCTCTATTTTAACTTTTTTTCTCCTACACGACAGAATTGGGTGTCTACTAGGATTGTAAATGCCACTGGATGCACTAATAAATTAGAACGATGTGTGTTAGCGTTGGATAAAAACGAACTTAATGTTGTGAAGTAGTTCCGGCGGGGCGGAGTCCTGTCCTCTGATGTCAGCGTCGGGGCGCGCATTTCAGTTTTAGCTGCTCTGGAATAGGAGGCCCAGGCGGGATGTGGGCGCGTATGAACCGCGCGGCTGAGGAGTTTTATGCTCGTCTTCTGCAGTGAGTTGTGGCCGAGGGATGGAACGGCGTCTTGTCCCTCCCGGCCTTTGTGTCTCTGCCTGAGTCTTGCCACAGCTGATGGCTTCGAGCCCTGCCGGCTTTACTGGGGTCTGGGATAGCCGAGGGCGGGTCTGGTTTGGCTCTGCTGACGCCTAGGCCTGCTAGCCTCCCGAGAAAACCTCAGTACTAGAGCAACAGGGCCAAGGTCCCTTTACTCCCCTTGATGATGCACCCACTTCTACTTAGAGGCTCCGGGAATTGGAGAACTAAATGTCATCCTTCTCCTGCCTTGAGCTTTGACTGACTCCTGAAAAAGAAAAGTCTAGCCGGATCTCTCCAGTTATTACCGTGTGAGCTACATTTGACCGTGGCTGGCTTTAAAATGTCATTGGCATGTAGCGTTACACCCAGTTTTGGAGGTTTTAGGAACAGAATCCAGGGCTTCACACACGTTAGGCAACTTGTCTTACCCCTGATTTTATTTTACTAGCCTATATGGTTGGTGTTGCCCATGTTCATCAACCCCACTGATAATTTACTCAGATCTATTATGCTTACCAGTCATTTTCTGAGTGTTTTCTTCCCAATGTGGTATTTAACTCCAGAATTCTCTCAAGTTAAGAGTTCTAAATCTAAGACTCCAGCTTCCAACAAGGCGGTAGTGGGGCAAGCCTTTAAATCCCAGCATTCCGGAGGCAGAGGCAGGCAGATCTCTGAATTCCAACAAGAGCTAGTTCCAGAGAAACTGCCTCGAAAAAAAACAAAACAAACAAACAAAAAAGACTCCAGCTTCCTTCTTTTCACCTTTCCCAGACTCCCCACCCCTTCTGTTGTTTTATTTCTTTGCTGAGGATTGGAGGTTGGGGGTCGGGGGCCTTGTGATGCTACACAAGTGTTTACCAGTAATCCCAGTCTCTTTATTCTTGCCCATCTGCACTGTTCTACTACTTGGGGCCATTATTATCTCTCCGAAAAACTACAAGTCATTCACAGTTATTTTCCTTCCAGAGTTGTCCATGCCCCCTGACAGTTTACTCTTTGGATTCCTGTCACAACTGGTTTTGTTTGCTATTCCCAGTATCTAACCAGAATGTTTGAGAAGCAGATGCTCAATGACCAAGCAAAATCCTTGAATTATATGGAAGGTACAACCATCTTTAAGAGAAATTCACAATCTTGGGCCAAAAAGATGGTTCAGCACTTGCCACCAAACCTTAGGCATGGCATGGGACCCACGTAGTGGGAGGAAAAAATATCCTACAAGTGGTCCTCTGACTTAAGGAAGCACACATACACACACATATACACATATCTAATAGGAAATAAACAGTGGGGTGTGCTGGCAAATGCCTTTTTAATCCCAGATCTCAGGAGGCAGACAGCAGAGTTTGAGGCCATCCTGGTCTACCGAGTGAGTTCCAGGACAGAACTGTTACATAGAGAAGCCCTGCCTGGAAAAAGAAAAAGAAAAAAGTCTTGTACAATATAACAAATTAATTTATCAGGCCTGTTTTCGTGTTCCTAAATCAGTTAGGCCAAGTCTCAAATCAAAAGAGGCAAACTGCATCCTGAGATAACTATTGAGGTTTTCCAGTTAAGATTCTTTTCCCTGTAGACCAGACTGGGAGTGCATTTTGGTATTTCATTCTTGTCTGCTAATGGTTTATAAATTATGTAACTCTTAAATATCTTGTGAAATGGGGCCGAGCAGTTAGTTAAGAGCACCACTTACGGTGACTCACAGCTGCAGCTGTGATGGGAGGGTCCAGTGTTCTCTTCTGGCCTCTGTACATGCACAGACACACAGATAATTAAAATAGCAAATCTTTATTTTATTTTCAAAGATTTATTTATGCATACGAGTGCTCTATTTACATGTATGCCTTCATGACAAAATAGGGCATCAGATCCTGTTACAAATGGTTGTGAGCCACCATGTGGATGCTAGGAATTGAACTCAGGATCTCTGGAAGAGCAGCCAGTGCTGTCAGGCAACAAGCCATCTATTTTAGAGGGTTTTGCCTTTTTGGGTTTGTTTTTTAAATAGGCTCTCAAGTTGCCCTAGAACTTATCTTCCTGCTTCAGCATCTTTTTGTTTGTTTGTTTGGTTTCAAGCCAGGGTTGCTCGGTGTAGCTTTGGAGCCCATCCTGGCACTGGCTCTGGAGACCAGGCTGGCCTCGAACTCACAGAGATCCGCCTGCCTCTGCATTCTGAGTGCCTGCTTCCGCATCTTAAGTGCCAGAGTTACAGGTGTATAACACCATCCCTAGTAGATTTTTACATTTTTAGGTTTTTTGTTTCATTTTGGTTTTTGGTTTTACGAGACAGGTTTTCTCTGTATTGCTTTGGAGCCTGTCCTGGAACTTGCTCTATAGACCAGGCTGGCCTTGAATTCACAGAGTGCTGGGATTAAAGATGCCACCAACACCTGACTTGTTTTCATTATTATTATTATTATTATTATTATTATTATTATTATTATTATTAATTTTACTGAATCTGGAGGGATGGCTGAGGGGCTAAGAGCACTTACTACTCTTCCACAAGACCAGAGTTTGGTTTCCAGAGAACACAGCAGTCACCTACTGTAATTCTAGCTCCAGGGCAATGCTCTCTCGGGCACCTGCTCTCACACATGCATTACCCACTCCCCTTACGTACACACATAATCCAAAAATATTTTAGATTTATTTATTTTATGTGTATGCTTTATCTACATGTATGTATGTATACTGGTTTGTGCCTGGTGCCTGCAGAGGTCAGAAAAGGGTGTCAGATCCCCTGGACTTGAGTTACAGATAAGGTTGTGGGCCATCCCATAGGTTCTGGTATCTGAACCCAGGTCCTCTGAAGGAGCAATAGTGCTTTAACCCTTGAGCTATCTTACTTATCCATAAACCCCCCCAAAAAAAAAATTGTTCTGAGACAAGAGTCTCACTATATGTCCCTGGCTGGCCTAGATCTGCTTGCCTCTGCTGGGATTAAAGGTGTGCCCCAACATGATTGACCCTCCTTTATCTTTTCTTAACCTAATTGTTTCCCCTTCTGCAGCTATCCTTAGAGCTGCTATAAGGACTGAGCTTTTCTCACTGATGCATGCATAAGTAAAGTAGCAGCTAATTCCCGAGTTTAAATAACAAGAATGATCCTGAAGCTCTGTTTCCCACACACTGTTCTGTATTTCAGGGAGTTTAATGAAGAAAAGAAAGGAGTCAGTAAAGAACCGTTTATCTATGAGGTATGTGCAGTTTATTTGGTTTTAATATAATTATCCTAAAATCATAGGTTTTTTTAAAAACTTAATTTACGTATGCTAAATTTTACCCGTTTAGGACATAGTTCTATGAATTTTGACAAATAGCTTCAGAAGTGCAGCTACCCCCATTATGAAAATGTAGACTATTTCCTGTGCTCATGTCCCTTATAAGCATTTTTATGTTTCTAGTACCTGCAGCTGCTAATTTGTTTTCTGTCTCCATAGTTTTGCCAATTCCTGAATGTCAATAAATAAAATATATAGTTTCCTAGCTTTGGTGCTTTTTTTCTCTGTCTCTGTCTGCCTTCCTTCTTTCCTTTCTTCCTTTCTTCCTTCCTTCCTCTCCTTCTCTTTCTTTCTGTGTGTTTGAAGCAGGTTCCCACTGTATAGCAAAGAGGGCTTTCTTTACAAAGCAGAACATCTTCAGTTGGACTTTGATGAAGTGTGGACAGGTGGTGGGTGTAAGCTAGATTTTCTTGTATCGGTGCATGCACATGTGCCTATGGGTACGTATCAAGGCCAGAGGTCAGTGTTGGGTGTCTTCCTCAGTTGCTGTCCACCTTAGTTATTTTGTGACAGGGTCTCCTACTCAGTCTAGAACTCCTTTCTTGGCTGTACTGACTGGCCAGCAAACCTGAGTTTCTCCTGTCTCTGCCTTCTGAGCACTGGAATTACAGATATATGTGAAGGTGGGGTAATAATGAGTTCACTAGACCCAAGATAAATGATAAATGAGTGTTTTATTGGGGAACAACCTACACAGATTAAGGACCACCATGGTTTTCCTGCCCTTCTGATACTTTCCAAGACCCAAGCGAGAGTGTGTTGCCCTTCTCTACCTTCAAGCAGTCACCTCCGCACCTGGAACCATGCCCAAAGGGGTGTGGCCACTAACACGAATTCACTGGCAAGGCAAGATGCTACTCCATACATGTCCTTGTGCTCATCTTTACATAGGTGCTGGGAATTGAGCTGAGGCCCCCATGCTTAAGCAACAATTTTCAAACTGATATATTTCCCCAATCCATAAGCTAGGTTGTCTGGACACAAGAAACAATCTGGCAAAATAAGGGGAACCTTTTTAAACATGTTCCTTTTTTAAGTAATTTGCATGCAGTTGGTGTGTAATACTTAAATTACATATAAAAACACTGCAGTCTTATTTTTAATAGGCTGATGTGCAAGTGCAGCTGATCAGCAAAGGCCAACCAAATCTTCTGAAAACTATTCTAAATGAAAACGACGAAGTGTTTCTTGTGGAAAA